ATTGCATATTGTTGCCCTCAAATCAGTTGCTCAGATTACCAGATACAAGCATGCAAAATTGGTCAGAACATAAAAAATTTTAGGCATTAACTGTTCCTTTCAATATACTGTCAGACATCAGCAGTACAGTTATCCCATCTCTCTCTCCATATATATATATCCTTTGAGTTTTTAGCTCTATGTCACATCAAAGAATCCTTTCTTCGATACTCCATTTAAGGTAGATCTTCCTCATCAGTATTATCCTATCATGTCATGTTTTTTTAGTCATTCAGAATTCCTCACTTTCAGCTATTATAGTGTTTATTTGTTTGTTTGGTCCTTTTCAAATCACTGAATAAAATGTAAACTTTATCTTTTTTTTTTTTTTCTCCGGTACCGGGAACCAAACTCACGACCTTGCGCTTGCCAGGCAGGTGCTTTTGCCACTGAGCTAAATCCCCAGCCCCCAAAATGTAAACTTTACAAGTTTACATTTAAACTTCACTCTCTTCTTCGCTCTGGGTTTCCAGAGCTTACTTCACTGCCCCAACACATGCTATGGATTAGTAAATCTCTGGTGTATTTGTGCTGCTATAACAAAATCCTCAAGACTGAATAATTTATGTGAAGAAAAAATTATTTTCTCACAGCCGTGGAAGCTGAAAAGTACAAGATCAAGGTATTGGGGGTTTTTGGCTGTCTTAGGAGGGTTAGTTTCTTTCCAAGATGGTGGCTTGTTGCTGCATCCTGTAGAGGGGAGAAACATGAGTCCTTACCTGGCTAAAGGCAGAAGAGGAAGAGATCCAAAGGACCTTAATCCTATTTACAAAGGTAGAAACCTTCATGGCTTAATCACTTCCTAAAAGGTCCACCTCTTACCACCACATTGGTAAAACTTGATTTTTGGATGGGACATATTCAAAATACGACAGTAAGTTAATTGTTGACTAGTTGACTTTTTCAAGAAAGTCAAGAATCAGCATAGGTGATGGATTCCCATACTGGTATATAGCACTTTTAAAAGTGCTTTACTTAACATCTCAATGGAAATTTTCTCTAAATTTTTAAAAAATACTTTCAATAAAATATACATACAGAAAAGCATTCATCATGGGTTAATATAATGAAATTTTTCTGTACAATTTATATCAAAATGGTATATTAATTTTAAGAGAGATTTTTTGGTTTATTTTCACTTGTCACAAATATAATAAAGACCCTCTTTCAAAAGCTGTTAAAGCAAATAGCAAGATCTATACACAATTTATTTTTGGTTCACTTCTAAATAATAAAACATTTGTACTGCAAAAGTTTAAAAGTTGGTGCCCAGCAGAATGTATCTGAAATCCTTCAGAGTCAGCTAACATATTGTGCAGAGGGAGAGAAGCTTATGTGTAACATATTAAATAACAAGGATAGCTATCCCATTTTGATTAATATTTTATACTGCAAGATGGAAGTAATTTTTTGAATTTGAGTTCCAACAGTATGTGAAGTTAGTTTATACTAGCTTTTGAGAGTCAACTGTGTATATTTCTTCCCAGAGCCACTTTAACTGACATCCATTTGGTAACTTGAGATTGGTCATGATGAAAGTATTTATACTACAGGAATAAGCAAGGGCCGTGAATCAGGGCTCTCTTGCACCTTCCCTCCAATCTGAAGTCAGCTATTAAACATTAACAGTATACTATATCACTAGCTAACACCACTAGTTCATCTTCTGAGGTCAATAAGGAAACTCAACAAAAGAGTTGTCAGTTCTGATTTTATGCAGTGAAGAAATGCAAAGTTTTATCTCTAGGTTTTCCATCCAAAACTAAAACTAATGTGCAGGCAAGGAAGGTCTCTCATATTCAACCTGTATTAGTGACAGTCTGTGGAGTCTACATAGTTTTGAATTTGTCAGCACTTACAGGCAAAATTCCTAATGTTCAAAGGTAATAGGACTGTAAAAATGACTTTAAAAATAAACGTGCCCTTTTTTGAAGACTAGAATATACATTTACAGTAATAAGAAATATTATGAACAAAACAGGGAAGTAGCCCCCAATGAAGAAGCAGCTCTGAGAAAAATGTAAAATTAATGTAAAATATATTAGAAATCAGCATGAGCATAGCTTCAAAGGAGATTTAACAGTCAAGTACATTTTCACAAGACTACGGAATAGTTTGTTTATAGTGAACACTAAGAAGTTGTTGACTCACAGGCAGTAGTTTGAAGAAATGATGAGGGTTGCCTGGCACGTTAACAAACCTGAAAGCAGATGGAACTTGTATTTATTTCACTTTTTCCTCTTCCTTTTTAACTTTATTTTCTTAACAACTAACATAATGTCTCTACTATCTACTGGTGTGAATACAAATCAGGGGTCAATACTTTTTCTATAAAAGCCAGGTAATGAATATTTTAGGGTTTGTGGACCATAAGATCTCTGTTACCGACACTCATCCGTGCAAGTATAGCATGGACACAGCCATAGAAAATACATAAATGAATAAAATGTGGTTATGTGCCAATTAAACTTTACAAAAACAGATAGCTTACTGGATTTGGCTTGTACAAGCTCTTACTTGCTGATCTTTTGTGTAGACTGCAAAATGTTGTTGGGGTGTTGTGTTGATCTTGCTTGGGAAATACTACTGTGCAGAGTAATGTTTCGCCAACTAGGGACAAGGATGGGAGTATGGGTTAGGATCACTTGTCACACGTAATTTTCTCTTCAGAACTTTTATTGCAGGTGAACTAAAAGCAGAATTCATGTGCTGCGTGGCCAGTACTTATTCTAGCATTATTAGAAATACTGTATACCATTCTACTTTCTAAATATGAAAAGTTTTCCCTTCTCAATCCTTCCCACATGATCTTATTGAACCATGGCTGAAGGGCACTTTTAATTGATAAAATATCAAGAGCCATGAGATGAAAGCAATTTCTTTCTGAGAAAATAACCAACTGTAAAATTAAAAACAAGAAATAAATCTTTGCTCAATAAATCATACTATTGTTCAGTGTATACTTAAGTGTTCACATTACTTCACTTAAGGGAACTGGAGGAACAGTGAGAAGAGTTTGGAAAGAGGGACACAAAGATGTATTCCAAGGAGTGTCAGGTTCTGAAAGTGACAGGTGTAGCCACTTAGCAAAAGGCAAGGTGCTTAGAGCAGAATCAACTATTTTTCATTTGCCAAAGTTTTGAGCTATATCTCACACATGGTTACTAAGTGTATGTTAATATTGACTTATTTTCTCTTTATTTAGCCCTATATCTCAAACTGCTGATTCCTAAGGAGACAACAACCGGGAGATGATTAAAATCATCTAGGGAGCTTACATTCCCAAAAGTCTGACATTCCATCCAAGAAGTCATCTATCCCTTTGCCAGAAACTGCCTCAGCAAGCTATTATTACAGATGGAAATGTGGTTTAGCAGTGCATTGGGCAAGAAAAAATGGTTAAAAACTGTGGATGGAAAATAGCTGGATATACAAATGCATGCCTAAAAATAAGGCTTTATCAGTGACAAAAGACAGAAGGTATGCTTACATCCAAAGCAGAAAGGAAAAATTTTAGGAACTTCATTAAATAGTTAAGACACAATGAATGCATTAAATTGCTAATTCATTTACTTTATATTTTGAGTTACTGAAATAAAATGCAAGAAAGTGGGTCTGACAACATTTATACTATTGTGGGAAGGCAACTGGACCATTATAGAAGCACAGATATTTTGGATCAGTTAAGTACGCTATGTCAAATGAATGTAGTTACCATTCCTCTTTTGAACTCAGTTTGATTTGTTTAGGCAAGTGTCTTGTTTACACAGCATTTTGGAGGGAACATGAGACCCATGTGCAAAAAAATTAATATCAACATACAGGATGATAAATTTCCTGAAGTGAATACAGTGTCAGAGAAATTCAAAGTTGGGAAAGATGACATTAGTTTGGAGCAAAGCAACAGTTAAAACTCCATTCATTTTCAAACCTCTCAGGTCTTTTCCCAAGAAGAAAGCTGATGCTTTGGTATAAATCATACACTTTTGATAGTTCTGTCACTATTTTAGAAGGTATTATTTGGTCTTTTTAATGTATGACTTCAACAGTTTCTTTGTTTTTTCTTTCTTTCCTTCCTTCTTTTCTCCTCCTCCTCTTTGTCCTCCTCCTCCTCCTTCTTCTTTCTTCATCTTTGTCTCCATCTTCATCTTCTCCTCATCCTCCTTCTCCTTCTCCTTCTCCTCCTCCTCCTCCTCCTTCTTCTCCTCCTCTTTCTTCTCCTTCTCCTTCTCCTTCTTCTTTTTAGTTTTATGAGACAGAATCCACTTTTTAATTCAGGCTTGGCTCACTATGCAGCCCAGGGTGACCTCCAACTCATTGCAATCCTCCTGTCTCAGCCTCCCAATACTGGGTTTATGGGAGTGTGCCACCACAACTGGCTTCAATAGTTTCTTAAATGTAAGCAGTATTATATCTTGGAGCCAAAGATTCCACTGTTGGAGCAATGTTCCCATCAGACAGTGGAAATTAGTTTCTTACTCCAGTTTCCTTTTTACATTTTTTTTAAAAGGAGACTTTAATTGGCAATAAAGAAAAATTACCATTTTATTTCTCCAGTTTACTATGGCAAAATTTTCAGCTATATCTCACACACAGTTATTGTGTGTCTGGTAATATTGACTTACTTTCATGAAGAATGGCCTAGCATTTCTCTTCATTTGGCTGTACACTATATCTGAACAGTGTCTTACTCTCCTCAGGTGTGAGTCCTGTCAGTTGCTTCCAGCCATGTCAGTCTGCTACCTAATCTCTGGTGGAGACTATTTAGGGTTTGGGAGGAAAGAGGCAGGATATATTCCTCGGCAGGGATTTGGGCAACAGTAAGGAAGTGAGATAGATATGCAATTTAAGCCAAGTGTGGGTGTGCTCCCCCCTCACATATGATTTAGCAACTGTGAGGTTGGAGGTGGGAATTGACTACCTGCTAAGCTAGTTTCTATTTCAAGTGCCTGCTTGTCTGAAGCTGAGTTTGAAGCCTCCAGCATGGTTGGAGTTAATTCCCATTAGGCTGGACTCCGCCCCCGTCTTCTAAAGGTAAAATAATGTTTTCAGGCACCACGGCAAAGAACAGCTGGGATTCCCATCTCTGTCTGACAAGCTGGGAGGAGAAGTTATTTCTCCGATCTGAGCCTGGAGAGGGAACAAGTCACTCAGCCTTTATACTCAGAAGGTAAATATGCAACTTGGGCCAAATGCAATTGAAACAGCTGAGTAAGAAACTGCTTTGCTCTCCTCCTGTTCAGCCCTCCTTCCTGCTTCCTTTCTCAGGCTTCCTGTCCTTTCATCTCAAAGCTCAGAGAAGCTGTTTTCTTCCCAAGGGCAGCTTGGTATATTTTTACTTAATAGTCTGCTGTTTGCAAAGAGGCTGAGAGGAATCAGGGTTGGAATTCTCTTTCATATCGACAAGGCTTAAGGATCTAAGGGTTAAGTGCTAGCTGGTTTCCCCAGGGGAACTGGTAACTTGAAGAGAGGAAGCGCATGTCTCTGGGAGTGAAGGGAGGGATTCTGTTCTGACTTGTCTATACAAGTAGAAGTGGATCTGTTTCCTGATGTGGTGGGTCATCTACTAGACTTGCCTAAACTGCGGTTACGGCAATAAAAAGTGGGATGAGGGATTGAGGAAAGTAGGGCTGGAAATAAAAGACAGCATTCATTCAGTAAATATTTTTAAGTTCCTACTATGTGCCAAGCAAGACGATTCCCGGAAGAACCTGAAGTAGTTTAACTATAAATCTATTCTTGCAAAGAACGCTGTCAATTGGTTTCATTTTGTGGTCAAAAACTAAAAGCAAAAAGAAGCCATTGAGTGAAAAGAAATCACCCATAGAGTGGTTGTGGGGTGCGAGCGGAGAGGGGCAATGATCCACTTCTTGGATGGCTTCAAGTCTTGTCTATTATTTATGAGGGGACAGTATAAAGGGGAAGAATTGATATCTCCCTTGGTATTAGGTATACCACATGACATTTCACTTGAACGTTATGTTCCATCATCTCCATTTTACAAATAAAACTGAAATGCAGAGGTGTAAACAATTTTCTTCTGCTTCATATCACCTATATGATCTCTCAATGCTGTCTCAGATCTGATTCTAAAATCTGGACTTCTTTCTATTGAAACAGTTACCCTAAATCATAAGTTCCTTTTAAAACCAGTTAAAGGTAATTATGAAATGCAAATTCCTATGTATTCAAATTCAGTGAATCTGATAGGGTGAGGTCAGAGGCTATGTTATATTTTAAAAAGGCATCTAGGGTGATTCTGATGCAGGCTTAGCACCCTCACTTAGAAAAACACTTTTAATAAGCCAGGGTATCTCCTAACGCCTCTGAAGTTCTCTTCAGAAGTTCTCCTCCTCTGGATAGATAGCATGGGGGTTGCTCTGAGTTCACCTGTGCCACTCCCCTCCCCACTTCCCACACTGGCCAGGTCCCCCCAGTGAATAGCTGTAGTGAAACTTTATTCCAGCTCAGTCCATGCAGGGTTGGAACTATGTCCTAAATGTATGGGAGAGCGCTTTACTACTTAGTCCATCATTGATAAGCTTAATCATGTTTTGCCAGAGCAGCCTGAAGAAGTAGTTTCTAACCAACTAATAGTCTAAGGTAAGACTATACGACCAATTGATCACTGAGGGTGATGGCCAACTTTCCCTGTCAAGCCAGAGTAAAAACTGAGCTGAAGATTTCTAGCTGACAAAGCAGAAGACACATGGCAATTCAGGAAGCAGTATTTGTGGTAAAGAGAGAAGCTCATATGAAGTTTGAGGAAATCATTCACTTTCCATCTTTCTAACCTTGGGAGGAAAGGAGTAGCGTCAGACCTGATGTGGAGTTTCTTTATATAAGCCCCCTCTGTCTCTGCAATCCCAAATCTATTATTTAGAGTTTAGCTTCTAGATTTTTGATTACTACTTGGTACTCTTTGGCTTCCTGCCTTTTGTACCTTATTTTCTTATGAGTGTCTCTAGCTCAGGATGCAAGTAAATGAATAAATAAATAAGCTAACTAACCCAACATAACTAGTTTTTCTAGTCTTTCTAACACAGACACAAAGAAGAAGGAAGAAGGGAAATAGCTGAGAGGAAATTTTAGCAAGCTTAAAAGCTGAGGTCAAAAGTGAGGTCTTATTAGAATCTCCAAGATACAAATGAAAATGCCTTTTCAGTGACTACATCATGAAGTGATTTTAGGCACAGGGGGGACTTTAGCAACTTCCATGGTGGAGAGATACAGAGAAGGAGAAACTTCTAATGGACCCCAATGCAGAAAATGTGGAGAGAAATATTTGGGACATGATGGATTTTTGTGAGGCTATGCCTGAAACAGAAAGATCTACAGTGGTTAGGTTGGTCATATAACTAGCTTTATAAAAGAGGAGATATTGATCAAATATATTTTCCTCGAGCAGGAGTCTATTTGCCTTATCAGAAACATGTGATTGACAAAACACAGTGAATGTTTATTAAAATATTTTATTATAATAAAAGACACATTGTCGTTAATCCCTCCTCAAAATACACCCCCACACACACACACTTTGCACTCATTTCCCCATCGTTCTTGCCACTCTCTGAAGGAGTTCTGGAAGTCCTCTTTTATCAGTATCTTTACTTACACTGTTGTGGCTGCCTTGATGTCCAGTATAGATGCAAAATATGTACCTTTTATGGTCTTTTTGAATTTTAAAAGAGGCAGAAGTTACACAGTAGTAGATCCAGTGAATAAGATGGATGAGGACACACTATAGCGTGTTTACAACTCTGCCTTTCTCTTGGAGGGCACTCAAGGCAGCTCTCCCCATATTTTTCAGGACACCTTGTAAAGACTCTCAGAACAGAGGACATCCAGACATGCTTCAGAAAGTGGCAAAATGATGGGATAAATGTGTTCAAAGCAAGGGAGAGTATATTGGAGGTATTAAAGGCAATGTGTCTTTTACTGTAATCAATTCTTAAAATTTAAACACACTGTAGTTTTGGACCAGCCTTGTATCCCTACATATCTTCCTCATTTTCTACAGAAGCCTGAACAGTGAGTGAATGAATCTGTAACACGACTGAGAGGGAGACAGTGCATAAGGAGAAAGGCCTGTTCACATTCCTTTCCTAATACTAGTGCCAACAAAGCTTCTCCACACAGACCAGTCCTAAGCAAGCTCTTTCTGCAGCCATGTTTTTCTCCACAGCTGTAATTCAGCAATTCATTTTATGACCACTTTTTTGTTCTGACATTTAACTCACTGTTTCTTTTACCTGTCGCTGGTACTCTTACTGAGTGAATGCTTTCCTTAACTCAGAAATTGTACAACAAGCTCCAGTGGGAACAAAAGGATTTGTGTTGTATTTTTTGTGAGAACTGCAGGAGAGATGAGGTAGAGGAAGGAGGTGTTTTATTTTTTTTTCTAAGAAAAACATAAAGACAATGCTTCCAGTTATTGTGATGCTAAGTACCCACATATGAGTAGGTACGCATAAGAGTAAAAATAAATGAGAAAAAAATGATTAAAAGCTTGGTAATGGGGCCTCACAGAGAGAGACAGAGAGCTCATTTTGTAGAGGAAAAAGCTGAAAGTAACTTACTAGCATCTGAGTTGAAAAAAGGCTCTCATTTAGGATACACTGGCCAGATGTTCTCCATTCCCTCTGAGGACCCAACAAAAGGAACTGGCCTTAAGTTTCAGCTGAAAAAGTTTATGAAGGAATGTGACCCATGATTGATTGACAGTGAGAGCTGTTAATTTACTTTGAAAAATAGTAGATTCCCTTTCCCTAGATTCACTTATGTACATAACACATCTTAGTTCTTTTTTTAATTACCTTCCCTTCTTCTCCCGACTCCTTCCCTTCATCTCTTGTCTCCTTTGCAAAAACAATCTATCACTCTATTTCTTATTGTCTATCTTTTGCTGTTCTTTTCTAGGCTAGATTTTTAAAACTGCACTAGAGAGAACCATTGACATTTGTGGCTTAAATCGCTTTTCTGCACATCAAGTTAACTTCTACTCATGAGGGTGTGTTAGAACGTCCAGAATATCCATAAAGATGAGCAAACATTAAGGTTTGGTGAGGATAGTAAACGCAGATCAGACATGCTTCCACTCTAGTTATTATAATTTTCTGGCCACACCTAGTGCATCTCATACAACTACTCTCATAAACAGGCATGTAACTCATTTAGTGAGGAAAATGAAGGATAAATGAAACTGTAAAACCACAAGAGGGTGATTCAAATACAATGCTGTTGTCATCTGGCTTGGTTTGAGAAGATCCCTGAGGCTGAAATAAAGAACTTAAATCACCCTTTTGTAGAATAGGTTTCCAGGCTTGCAGACTTCCACTGCAGAAAAAAACATTCAGAGTATATCAGTAAGAGGCACAGGAGGGTTTATTAGGCAGAGATTTTAGGACACACTCAAGAGTGGAGTGCAGGGGGCTAGGGATTTAGCTCAGCAGCACAGTGCCTGCCTGGCAAGTGCAAGGCCGTGAGTTTGATTCCGGGTACTGGAAAAAAAAACAAACAAAACAACAACAAAAAAAGAGTGGAGTGCAGGTCCTCTGAGAAGTGAGACACACTGCAGTTTCTAACTGGGAAATTTTATGTGGTGGAAATATGTAGAATGTGTTAATCTATAGCCTTACTCTTGTCTGGTGGTTGGGAGGGGTGGCCGACCCAAAGTAAGACAATGATCCATTTGCAGGTGAAACCATAATTTATAGGTGAAAATGATGATTTATTCACAGGTGAAAGGAGACCCTTTGCAAGTAAAAAGTGAATAACTTAATCCATTTGTAGGTGAAAAAAAATTGCCCAGACTTACTAAGGTGTTTTGGCAGAAGAGATAAAGAAAATAAAATTAGGCTTGTTTTCTGAAGCTGTAGTTTTCATTTTTAAAATTATAATTTTCCGTGTCTCTTTTTCATCTTGTTCTTACTTTTTTATCCTACCTCTCTATCAATACCTGGTTACTGGACTACTCTGCAGGAGTACTACAGACCATTCTATATTCCTGAAGTCTAGTGTGACTATAAGGCTAGATATTTCAGGTAGAGAAACAATGCTATTACATACAAGATGTGTACACAAGGAATGAGAATAGGATAAAATCTATCATTGTTTGTGATCTTTATTGGTGTCAATACAAAGTAACTTAGCCATTTTCTGGGACTGAGCTTGGATTGCATTGGAAGACTTTCACAAGGGGAATTACTCCATCACAAGTGATGGAACTAAAAGCATTTGCTAGAATGCTGTTCCTTGTCCAGCACATGTGAACATGTAGAGGTGTGCATGCACAGACTCTACATGTCCTGCTGCCTCCATATTTATGTTACCAGGTTCTGGGGTTCTGAGATCTCCTTCTAGAGTTTCTTTTTAGGTTGTTCTTATACTGAACAAATAGTTGAATGAAAAAGTGCAAAAGGTAGTGAAGTTTTACGTTTATAGAGATAGGAAAAGAAACATGCTCTGCAGAGTGAGTACAGGCCAACTAATTAGGAAAAGAAGTATACTCTGCAAGGTGAGAATGGACCATGGTGAGAGAGCACAGGGACCAAGAGCTCAGTGGCAACCATCTTTTGTATCTCTCACTGCTCAGGCTATCTTAACAAAAACCTGCTTGAGTTCTCACTAGAAGAACTGAAGGTAGCACTGTCTGTTGGTTCCAGCTGTAGGGCTTGGGGGCACGTCTCTTGGATCTCTGTGATTGCCAGGTCACACCCACTTGTCCAGCCTGATGGCCACAACCTAACCTCCTGCCTCACTTTCACAGGAGAAGCTGGTATGGAACTTGCTCTGTGTTTGAAAAATAATGCATTGTTGAATCTCTGAAACCTAATCCTTAATCTCATAATGTCAAGTCTATGATACCCAATGATTTACATTCAATGTGTATAGGCTGCATGTCTCCAGTGTTGAATTGCATGATCACTTTTAACTTTACATTAGCTGAGTTCTAGAGAGAAAACATTAGAGAAATTTTTTACAGCAGTGATTCCAAAACTCCTGTTAATGGATAGTGCTGGTACAAAACATCTAGCTCTATGTAAGGTGATCCTGCCTTCCCAGGATATTCAGGACCTTTCTGGTTTTATCACTGAATGTCCTACATCCCAGAAAACTTTTACTTCTGGGAAAACTGGTAAGTTTGTTCACCCCAGACCTAATATATAATCCACTCATAAATATAATCCCTTCCTCTTTCTTATATTCTCTGCCCATCTACTGGTTGTCGTACTGGAAGTTTTGATCTCAGGGTTTTGACAACCATGTCGGACATACGGAGTTAGTTCAGACTAAAAAGTGTTGTACTTGAGGTAGTTAATATTCTTGTTATGATGGTTTACACAGTATTTCTGGAGAGATTGGTCTTTGCCGTACCAAGCCTGTCTCCCTCTCTAACTCTTTTCCCATCCTTAAACATTATTTTAAAATTCTGGATGGGAAGCCATGGAGACTTTAATTCTAATATTGTGGAGGTGGTGATGTAATTTTCCTGGGGTAATTCTATGCGAGAAGCGTGTAGGCCAAGGAGAAGTAAGAAATGATGGCTCTGTCATTGAATCATTGTGTACCTTTGGGCAAGTCACTTGGCTTACTGGCTCTCCATGTGCTCATTTGTAAATTGAGGCGTAATACATTTCTTAACAACCTAAGAAGACCCTTGGGCAGAACACATGAAAAAATGGGTTGGGAAGAGTGTTGATGTAGTCAATAGCTATTTATCAGCTTTTTCATCCTTTTCTCCTCTAGCCTGGGCTTCTTCATCAGGAAATGAGTCCATAACAGAGGGCTGCATGTGCTTTCATAATCTTACGAACTCCAATATGACAAGCAGAAGCATTACCTCATTGTGGCCAAGCATACCTACTTTCTAACAGCAATTACTTAAACCTAGTTCCACTTCTCCCCCTGTTGGCCTTCAATCCCTCATCACATCTCTCTCTCTCTCTCTCTCTCTCTCTCTCTCTCTCTCTCTCTCTCTCATTTCCCCCACTCACAGACACAAAGCCTCATTTCCAGGGGACCAGCTAAGGGTGCTTTCTTCTCAAATCCTAACTTTCCAGAGTGAGCACCTGCAATTTATGATTTCTGCTCCCTTCCTGCACAAAACACATAGCACAAAACATATGTATCAAGAGAGGAACTGTGGTAGAGTGAAAAAAAAAGCATTGTACTGAGAATCAAATAACTGGCCTCTAGTTTGGCCAGTGTACCTCACTAGCTATGTTCCCTTGGGTAAAACACTTCCTCTCCATGTTCCCATTGTAAAGTGATGGAGAGGTGGGGTTAGGATTGTGTGGTAGCAAAGCGTTGGCCTAGGAATCTGCAGATCAGGTTTCTTGTTCAGGTATTGCTGTTTTCTGTGACTGAAGAAAATCACTTCCTCCTTTATTGGCCAAACTCCCCCATATGTAAAATAAGAAGGTTGGATTAGGTGATTCCTTAAGGTTCCTGCCAATCTAAAAACTGGATGATTCTGTGGAAGAGGTTTCATTAAGCAAACATGAATTGTAATGACTGCTCTGTGACTAGCACTATTTGCTGGTGCTTGAGAAACGACTTATGGCTCTAACCCTAAATATAACTGTTGCTTGATCCTCAGAGTGTCCCAAATAGGCAATGTGTTGATTCCATCTAGCTAGTTCTTGAACTTCCCCTACTTGAAGCCTTCTCTACCCTAACTCTCTTCCACAACATTATTATCTGTAACATTAAACAGTGGTGATGAGTCATGGAGAGGTTCCTCAAACATACTCCACCATCTGCCGGTTGGATATCTTCATGGTGCTGACAACAGGCTACAGTGGGTTTCTAACCACCCTAATAGAGACACTGGCCAGAAAGCAATGGCAGATTAGTGGATTGGGCTGGAGGGTGGTTGGTTTTGGAAAGAGGACTGTGTGAAAACATTTTGTGAGCTAGCCAAGGAGACAAAATCTAGGAAGTTTCTCAGGATGTTTAAGCTGATATTACTTATTCCAAAGGTGACCTTGAAAGGTTTTACCAGCTACATGTTCTTGGAGCAAGGCAGGGAGTGCCTGATCCTGATTTATTTCATGGAGGGGAGAAGCTTTTTTAATGATAATCACCAAAGGACAAGAAAGCTTTTCTTAGTAGTCATTCTACACTTAACTGCTGTGATAGGAAATTTGTCTCCCATTTCAATTATAGGTGACTACACAGCACTTTTGTGGGGATAGTACAAATTAGGCGCCTTTTATTGCCTTCTTACCTCTCCCTTTTTCCTGTAAGTAGTGATTGAACCCAGGCCCTTCACACCAAGCCCTTTTAAAAATTATTTTATGTTGCAACAGGGTCTCACTAATTCACTGAGTTGCCCAGGCTGGACATCCTAAGTGAAAAGGGAATGTCCTGTAACTCCATGGCGATCTCGCTTGCCCTCTTATCTCTTTTTTAGGGGCAGGCCTGTGACTTTTACCTGCTCCTTCACTCTGAAAACAACTTTGTTCCTGACACTCTTGATACACTGCCTCCTTCCAGTCCTCTGATCCTGCAAGGCCATTCGGCTGGAATCCCCAGAGACTCTTGCCACTGCCTTATTTTCTCTTCCCTTGCTTCCATATTATATGGTAAGAGTTATAAGGTGGTTCTTCAGACTGCCTGTGAGTTGGCAGATCAGTCACTAATTCAGCTCTGTGATCGCTTCTCGGCCTTTTGGCTAAGATCAAGTGTACTAATTCAGCTCTGTGGTTTTTCCACTGCAGCCTAATGACTATGGAACTTTGATCCAGGCAGAAGGAAAGAAAGCTGAGAAGCAGAATCCTATAAGACAACAGTGGTCTTCAAGACAATAATTTTATCCAGATCAAGGGCCAAGTGGTGTAAAAATGAGCCCCAGAACTGGCCAACTAGATGAAAAATAGGCCCATGGATCCTATGTTGTAACTTTTTGATTTGGTGCTCTGACCCATCTCCCCATCCTTGCAGAGAAACTAGAGACCATGAGGAGCAGCCTGACCTTGGTGGGGACCCTCTGGGCCTTCCTGTCCCTTGTTACTGCTGTGGCCAGTTCTACCAGTTACTTCCTGCCTTATTGGCTCTTTGGATCCCAGCTGGGGAAACCAGTGTCATTCAGCACATTCCGGAGGTGCAACTACCCAGTGCGAGGAGAAGGGAACAGTCTGATCATGGTGGAAGAATGTGGGCGCTATTCCAGCTTCAGTGCCATCCCAAGCCTGGCCTGGCAGATGTGCACAGTGGTGACAGGTGCTGGCTGTGCACTGCTGCTTCTGGTAGCACTGGCTGCTGTCCTAGGCTGCTGCATGGAGGAACTCATCTCCAGAATGATGGGACGTTGCATGGGAGCAGCACAGTTTGTGGGAGGTAAGAATGTGTCCCTGGAATTGAGTAGGCTGGGGAGTTTGGGGTAGGGAAGGTGGCAAGTGCGGCCTTAGGCACAGATCTACTCTTTCACTCTCTTCTAGTTTGCCCAATTCTAAGGCTATGATTGCGGACTTTTTGCATTTGCCTAGTCTAGCACTTTCCGAAGTGCAGCCTACATCAGGGTTTATTCATAGAAAAACTGGCTAGCAGGCAGAGTTGATACCTCTTGCTTGGCCTCTATTTTTATTGCCTGCAGGGTACCCATTTAAGCATATAATGCAGAAATTGGTCTTAAAGCAGAACAAAATAGAATAATGGTGACTAGAGGCTAGTGAGGTAAAGGGAGGTTGGATAATAAGTAATAAAATACAGTTAGGCTGGGGGAATAAGTTCTAGTATTCTACAGCAGAGTAGGTGACTGTAGTCAATAACAATGTGTTATATATATTATAAAAACCTAGAAGAGAGGAGTTTGAAGACCCCAATATGAAGAAATATAAATGCTTAAGATGAAGAAATGATAATTACTGTGATTTGATCATTATATATTGTATATACATGTACTGAATTATCGACTTCCTATAAATACGTGTAAGTATGAGTTTTTATGAAAAATACGATAAAATTTATTAAAGTAAAAGAGGCATTGCCATTTAAATCCCCCCAGAATATTCCACATCACCTTGAAAGCACTTATCCTGTCATTCTTGCCATTTTCTGAAGAAGTTCTGGAAGTCCTATTTGTGAATGTCTTTTCCATAATAGATTCAAAACATTTATCTTTCATGACCCTTTTTATGTTGAGGAAGAGCCAGAAGTCATGAACCTACAGATCCAATGAATACTGTGGAAGGGGACATACCATAATGCTATTAAGGGCCTGCCTTTCCTTTGGATGGCCCTTGGCAATGGCATTCACTGTACATTTGGTCACACCTTGAAATAAAGGGAAGTCTTTTAAGCTGGACTAATGACAGTGTGCCTTTTTAAAAAAGCTAATTTTACTGGTACATTTTAGATACATAATGATATCAATCATCAGAGGGAACTGGTACTTGTACATAACATTTCTTGATTCTTCCTTTTTCTCATTCCACTTCTTTCCTTCAACTGCTGTATTTACAAAAACTTTCCATTTTCTGATCTCCTTTTTTAGAGTGCTATAGTTTTCAATTTAAAGGTCTTTTACATCCTTTGTTAGATTGATTCCTAAGTATTCATTCTAAAAAAAATCTACTGTGAAAGGTGTTATATCTCTAATTTCTCTCTCAGTGAGTTTGTTATTTGTGTACAGGAATGCTACTGATTGTTAAGTGTTGACTTTGTATTCAGCTACACCACTGAATTTGGTTATTAAATTGATAAGTCTTTTGGTAGAGTTTTGGAGGTCTTCTATGTAGAATATCATGTCATCTCCAAATAATGATAATTTAACTTCTCCCTTTTCTTTCTTTATTCCTTTTTTAAAATTTCTCTTGTCTAATTGCTCTGACTAATGTTTCCAGAACTATATTGAATAAGAGTGGTAATAGCAGAATCTTTGCCTTGTTCCTGATTTTAGAATGAAAGCTTTCAATTTTTCACTATTTAGTATGCTGTTGGCTATTGGTTTGTCCCAAGTGGCTATTATCATATTGAGGTAAAGACCATCTATTCCTATTTTCTGTAGGGTTTTTATGATAAATGGGTGTTAGACTTTGTCAAATGCTTTTTCTGCATCCATGGAGATGATCATGTGGTTTTTGTCCTTGGCTGTGTTAATATGGTATTTTATATTTTTTGATATATGTATGTTGAACCATCCCTGCATCCCTGGGATGAAATCTATTTGATCATGGTATGATCTTCTTGATGTTTTGCTTCATTCTGTTTTCCAGTATCTTACTGAGGTTTCTTCATCTATGTTCATTAGAGAGATTCACCTGGTAGTTCTCTTTTTTTTTTTTTTTTTGATCCTTCTCTGGTTTTGGTGTCAGGTTAATTCTTGCTTCCAGGAATGACTTTGGGAGTATTGCTTCCATTTCACTTTCATTAAAGAGTTTGAGGAGTAGTGCCATTAGATGTTCTCTGAATTTCTAGTAGAATTCAGCAGTGCATCTGTCAGGACCTGGGCTTTTCTTTGTTGATAGGTTTTTAAATACATCTTCATTTTCATTGATGGATATTGGGTTATTTATAATTTTTATATTTTCTTGATTCAGTTTTGGTAATTCATATGTATCTGGGAATCTGTCCTTTTATTTTTTCCTATCTTATTAGAATACAGGTTCTCAAAGTAAGTATGACCTGGATTTCTACAGGATTTGTTGTGATTTCACCCTTTTCATTCCTAACTGCATGAATTTGAGTCTTTCTTCTTTTGTAAGGTTGGCTAAGGTTTGTCAACTTTGTTTAATCTTTGAAAGAAGCAACTCTTTGAAATATTGATTCTTTATTTTGTTTTCTTAGTCTCAATTGCATTAGTTTCTACTCTGATCTTTATTATTTCTGTCCTCATGAGCTTTGGGGTTGACTTGCTCTTCTTTTTCTAAAAGCTTTAGGTTCAACATTAGCTTGTTCATTTGAGCTCACTACTTTTTTGATATGGGAATGCACAGCTATATATTTTCCTTGTAGGAGTGCTTTCCTTGCATCCCATGTTGTATTGACATCACAGTTTAATTGTGGAGACTAATTTCATCTTTAATTTCATCTGTCACCTACTGGTTCTTCAGGAAGGTGTTATTTAATTTCCATGTGTTTATGAAGTTTTTGTGGATGATTTGTCATAGATTTCCAATTTCTTTGCACTGTGCTTTGATAATATGTATGAGATAATTTCAATTCCTCTGCATTTACTTTATCATGTTCTATGAGGTAGTATGTGGTCTATCTTGGAAAGTGTCTCATGTGCAGCTGAGAAGAATGTGTATTTTGATGTTATGGGGTGAAACATTCTTTAGATATCTACTAAGTCCATTTGTTCAAAGTTTGGTTCAGTTCTGATATTTCTCTTTTGAATTTTTTGTCTAGTTGATCTATCTATTTTTTACAGTGAGGTATTGAATTACTCCATTACAATTGTATTAGTGATTATTTGATTTTTTGTATCTGTTAATATTTGTTTATATAGTCAGATGCACTGGTATTTGAGTTTTATATATATATATATAAATGATTGCTATTTCTTCCTCTTGGATTGTTCCCTTAATGAGATATAGTGACCGTCTTTATGTTTCTTGTTCAATCTTGGCTTAAAACCCACTTTGTCTGCCAACAGAGTAGTTACTCCTACTTTTTTCCATGTTTCTGTTGCATGGAGTACTGTTTTCCTGTTTTTTACTTTCAGCCTATGAATTTCTTTTTGAGTTAAATATATTTCTTTTATGTAACATATTCATTGATGTTGTTTCTTAATCAGTTTGCCAGTCTATTTCTTTTAATTGTTTGAGACCATTTACATTAATGGTTATAATTGATATGTATTGAGTTATTTTTTTTTTTTGTCTTTTTGAGACAGGGTCTCACTATACAGTTCAGGCTGGCCTTGAGCTCACTTTGTAGCCCAGGCTGGTCTCGAGCTCACAAAGATCCTACTGCCTCAGCCTCCCAAGTGCTAGGATTACAGGCCTGTGCCACCACACCTGGCTGACTTATCCTTGTCTTATTATTTTTGTGTTTTAGGTTCCCTCTTTCCCTCTTTTTATTTACTTGCCTTGCTTGGTGGATTCATTCTGTTGGGGTTCTTGGAGTTGTATTCTTCATAACCTCTTTCTGGAATGTTCTTCTGAGCATTTTAGCGTGCTGCTTTGCTGGTCATAAATTTCTTCAGATGTTCATTGTCTTGGAAGTATCTTATTTCTCCACCAATTTTGAAAAATAGTTTTTCAGGATACATCAACGTGAATTGGAGGTTATTTTGTTTTACAGCATGAAGTACTTTACTCCAAACTTTCCTTGGCTTAAGGGTTTATGTTGAGGAGTCTGCTGTGATTCTGATTGGCTTTCTTTTATAGGTGATTTGTTTCTTTTCTCTGACAGCTTTTAATATTCAGTTCCTATGTTGAATATTTGGAAATTTGACTATTAAATGCTTTGGAGTAGAATTTTTTTGATCATGGAGTTCTACATGCCTCACTTATCTATATGTGAAATTTCTGTCCCATGCTTGGTAAATTTTCTGCCATTACTTCTGCATACAGTTTTTTTCTTTGCCCTCTGTGGTATCTTCTGCTTTTTCACCGACTCCAGTAAATCCTACGTTGTTCTTTGCATCATTTAGCAACTGTTGGACTGATTTTTATGGTCCTGTTCTATTCTTAAGAAATCCTGTTTTTCATGATCACTAACTGCATTCCTGTCTTCTAGATATGATATTCTATCCTCACATTGATTTATTCTGCTGGCTATACTTTGAATGGAATTTGTAATCTCCTGGATATTTGTTTGAATCTCTTTCTTGTATTCCATTTCTTTTCTATGTTGGGCATTCATGGTTTGTATCCTTTTTCTAAGATCCTCTATTTTTTTTATCTTTATCTGCTCTAGAGTCACTAACCAAGTCTTTCATTATGGTTATCATGTCTGTAGTAATCTGAGAAATTATTTCTGATTTGATTTTTTCTAAAACCTCATTCAACTACTTTTTTACTTGTGCTGTTACCACTTCAGAGAGTCAGGTGTATGGCTTTCAAATTGTTGCACCTCATTTCTTCCTGGGTTTTGAGTTCATTGCCAGTTCTTACCCCTTCAATTTATTGGGGGTAAGAATTTGCTGCCTATTTGGTCTAGCCCCTAGTTCTTTGGCATTGACTTACAGTATTATTTGTGAAACTTGGGCAATCTAAGTCTTGGCATACCAGGAAGAATAGCTGATTAGAAAACTTATGTCACGTTTGCTAAAGTAATAAAATCAGTAATATCAATAGCATGAAACAGCCTAAAAAATGACAAACTGAAGTAACTATTAATTTGCCATCTTTACCCATATGATCAAGATTTGTGATTAAAATAAGAAAATC